AAACGATGGTGCACCATCCTGGGAACAAGTCTGCTGAACCTTTTATTGCACTCCCTCAATGACAATAATTCCTTTTGTAAGAAAAGGAAATTAAAACTATGCATAGTATTCCATGTACAGTCTTACTAAGCTCCTATACAATTGAAGCAAGGTGTTACTACTCCTGTACTCAAACCCTCGTACAATAAAGGCCAACATTCCATGAGCTTTCCTAATAACTTGCTGGGCTTGTACGTTAGCCTTTAGTGACTTACTAATAAGGACACCCGAGTCCCTTTACACATCTACACTTTTTCCAATTTTTCTCAGTTTTAGAAATACTCTGCACATCGGTTTTTCCTACCAGAATGGAGAACCTCACATTTTTCCATGTTATATTCCATTTGCCATGTTTTTGCCCAATCACAGCTATCCAAAACCTGATAGTGGGGTGACATTTGCAAACTTCCAATCCGCAGGAATCATTTCCAAAGTCTAAAATTTTCCCTATTTATCTTTAATTTTATCTAAATTGATTAACAGTGCATCTACTATTTCTAGCCACCACCTTCAACATTCTGAGATGTAGAAAATCAGGTTTCAGACATTTATCAACTTTCAGCCCCATTAATTTCTTCAGTACAATGTTCATAATTTTCTTCAACTCCTCATTCTCCCCAGTCACTGTGATCTCTAATTCTGGGAGATTTTTTGCACTTTCCTCAGTGAAAACAGACACTAAGTAGTCATTTAGCATTTCTACCATTTGTTTTCCCTGATCAAATTCACTTAATCCTGCTTTAAGTAGACACACCTTTGTCTTAGCCAAATGTTTTCTTTCACATACTTGAAACTTTTACAGTCCTTTCTTTTTGCTTGATTACATGTGTATTCTTTCTGTCATTACTTTTTTGGACCTCCTTTTGTGTTCTAAAAACTTCCAATATTTTAATTTATTACAATGGCTGAAGACTTTATAAGCCTTTTATTTTTGTACAATCCTTTACTTCCTTTGTCAGCCCTGTTTGACAGATCTATTTTTGAATTTTTGTACCTTTTTAAGGAAGGTGTGGTTGTTCTAAGTCATGTAATTAGACAATGGACAGTCTTTAAAAAACTATGTACAGCTCTGCCGCATGCTTTCCTAATTTTCCTTATTCAAATTTAACATCCTTGCTTCAGATTGGTGACTGTGTAAAATTGTGTTCATGCACTTATGCTTGAAGGTTCTTTTGTAAAAGTATTAATTAGCCCTTTTTCATTACATGAGATCTAAAATAGCTTGTCTTCTGGTCTGGTCCTCAACGTACTGCTCCAGATAACCCACCCAAGAAAATTGTCCTTTTATAGCTTTGGTGCTCATTTGGTTTACCCACTCTATGTAGATTGGAGGCAACCATGATAACTGTGGTGCCTATGCTATATGCTTCTCTCACCTCTTCATTAAGAACTCGACTTTATCACTGCTATTTGGTGGTCTATAAACAACTCCAATCAATGTCTGCTGCTTCTTTGGTTCACCCGAAGTCCACACATTCTTCTGATCTGAGATCCTCCCTGAATATACTGATCCCATCTCAGTAGCACAACTTCGTGTTTTTTGACCTCCTAAATGACAAGTATCCTTAAATGTTCAGTTCTCCGTCCTGTTCACTATACGGCCATGTTTCTGCAATGACAGGTATATCATATTTAATTATCTCTTTCTCCTTTTACTGTGAATGTATCCAAAAATGGAGGGAAGCAAGAAGTGGGTAACTACAGGCCAATTAACCTACTATCCATTGTTGAGAAAGTACTGGAATTGATTATAAAGAAGTGATAGCAGAACATTTGGAAAATCATAATCTAATCAAGCAGAGTGAGCATAACTTCGTGAAAGGAAAATCATGTCTGATTTAATAGCTTTTCAAGGAAGTCTCAATTAGAGTGGATAGAGGGAACTAGTAAATGTGTTGTATTTTGGATTTCCAGAATGTATTTGACAAGATACCTCTCAAAAGGTGGCATGGATAGAGAATTGGGCAGGATACACTAAGGGGTTCTCTTTTTTTTTGGCTTAGTGATTCATGACCAGTAGGGTTTCACAGGGATCCGTGCTTGGACCATAACTGCTTGCAAATATATATTAATAACTTTAAGGAAGGAAGTGAATGTATTGTAGCTAAATTGGCAGATGCCACAAAAACAGGTGGAAAGGCAAGTTGCAAGTGGAATACAAACACATGAGTTAAGTAAGTGGGCAAATAGAGTATCATGTGAAGTTGTTCATTTGGAACGGAGAAAAAGTACATTTATTGAAATGAAGAGTAGCATCAGAAAGTTGCAACACAAAGGAGTTGGGGGTACTTGCACACAAAACTCAAAGCTAGCACACCACAGGTAATCAGGGAAAACAAATGGAATGTTGGTCCTTATTTCAAAGGTATGAGAATAGCCAAGTCATACTACAACTGTGCAAGGTTTGGTAAAACCATACCTAGAGTACGATGAGCAGTTTTGGTCCCCTTATTTAAAAAAGGATTGAACCCCACAAAGGGTGGTATGGTTAGTAAGTTTGCAGATGAACAAAATTGGAGTTGCAGTGGACAGCAAAGAAGGGTACCTCAGCGTACAACAGGATCTTGACCAGATGGGCTGAGGAGTGTAATTTAGATAAATGTGAGGTGCTGCATTTTGGAAAGGCAAATCAGAGCAGGACTTATGCACTCCGAGGTGTCTTTGTTTAGCGACACTCCCCAGTTCCTTACTATTAAGTGTAAGTTCATAGTTCAATGAAAGTGGAATCACAGGTAGAAAGGATAGTGAAGGCATTTGGGATGCTTGCCTTTATTGGTTTGTGCATTGAGTACAGGAATTGGGAGGTCATGTTGAGGCTTTCACAGGACATTGGTTAGGCCACTACTGGAATACTGCATGCAATTCTGGTCTGCTATAGGAAGAATGTTGTGAAATTTGAAAGTGTTCAGGAAGGATTTACAAGGATGTCATCAGGACTGGAGGGTTTGAGCTAAAGGGAGAGGATGAATAGGCTGGGGCTCTTTTCCCTGGAGCGTCGGAAATTGAGGGGTGATCTTATAGAGGTCTACAAAGTAATGAGGGGCATAAATAAGGTAAATAGACAAGGTCTTTCCCCAGGGTGGGGGCATCCAAAACTAGAGGGCATAGGTTAAAGGTGAGGGGGAAAAGATTTAAAAGGGACCTAAGGAGCAAGTTTTTCACGCACATGGTGGTGTGTGTACGGAACAAAGAAGGTGGTGGAGACTGGTACAATACAACATTTAAAAGGCATCTGGGTGGATATATGAATGGAAAGGGTTTAAGAGGGATTTGGGTCAAATGCTGGCAAATGGAACTAGATTTATCTAGGCTATCTAGTCGGCATAGAGGAGTTAGACCAGAGTCTGTTTTCACGCTATTACAGCTGACACTTTAAAAAAAAAAAAAAGAGAATATTTAAAGAGAGAGAATATTTAAAAACCCATTTGGGAAGAGATAGAGTTTCTCCCAATTTTCGTTTTTTCTACTGATTGGGAAACAGACTGTCAGCCCTGCATTCTAAAACTTTAGAGCCAGACCTTCCAGGAGTAAAATTATGGAATACTACTACACATTCACAGGATGGAAAACTTTTGAACACTTCACCTACAAATGGCAATTGTTCTAGATTAATCTTAATAATAAATACTGAGATTTGTTCTGCCACTTTCCGTAATGCTGTTGGAAAGACATGTGCTTTCATTAAATGGCAGTCTGGGGAGCTAAATGCCTGTCCATCAGTTTCATAGGAAACTGAGATGGAACAAGAGGTAACTCTTATAAGCACAGGGGCATATGAAATTCGAGAAATGCCAGGGGTGTGTGAGGTCTTGTTTGGTGGGAAAAGGAAGGTGAGTTGCACTGGACAGAATAAACAGTCTTTGTCCATGAAGTCTATGCATCTTGTTGCCATTGAGGGTGGAGAGGGTATGGAAGGGGATAGATGGTTATTCTAGTCAGGGGATTTAGGGAAATGATCAGATGTGGCTTTCTTTGAAAATAAGGGAGGCAATTTCATGAATGGCAAAATCAAGTGGGCAAGTGCAAATGGGAGGTTGGGGGGGGTATCAGTAAAATCAGGTGAGTCAAATGTTACTTTATCTTGTGATCTAGTCCTTTTGCAATTCAATCACACTTAATAAATGTAGCTTGCTTATTAAGTATAACATTTAAAAGTAAGTAATATTGATTTGGGTAGTTATGCTCCTTTTTCACAGAGTTTCTTCTATTTCTAGGTAATTTCAGTTTAAAGGACGGATGACATTTGAATACACAGATGCTCCAAGCTCAGTATTTTTAATACAACCTACCAAATGTGCCAGATTCAGAAATTCCAAAGACTTCATTGAATGAAAGTACCAGGTAAACACATGTTTTTCACTTTTAAGTAGTGCTACATACTCCTGTATTTTGATGAAGAACTTGCATTTACATTACACCTATTACTTTAGGATGCATCTAGCATTATTGTTGAGTCAGCCTTTTTGTACAGCAGTATCAATGTATTACTCAAAACTAAACATAATCAAATGGTCTAACAATAAGAAAACTCATCAGTCATAAATGCACTTTTCTACTCTTCCAGAACTT